AGATATACGAGTATAATGTGTCATAATGTGTCACAATCTTTCTTACACTTTAAGACTATACAGCACTGTGCAATAATTCTTATTGAAAGTCATTTTTTATCTACCACAGGAACAGTTTTTATCTAGGAAAACACACAAGCTTGTAGTACCAGTTGCTCGACTCCACCGAATCAGTGATTCATTCTTGGGGCCATGTATATGCTTTTACAACAAAATCCCAGAATTTGACCTGCTCAAAGTTCAAAAACTTTAAAGTTTGTATAAATAGGGTTACTATAATATTAAGGAATTTATGGATGATAATAACCACTGGGTATGAGGTGATCGCTACCAAGCTATTTCTTATTTGTTTTGTGTTGTTAATTGTGTAACATACATGATTGTAAGCTGTTATTTAAAAAAAAAGTCCCACTGAGTTTCTTGCTGGTTCTTCCCAGGGCAGAGGATTTTTTTAGAACCAGTGGTAATTAAACAATAGAGTGACTTTCAATAAGTATTATTTATAATCTATATTGAACAAAAAAAAGTTTCTGTTCTGTTCTGTTCCAATATCACCGCTTAATATCAGGTTAGCTCATTTGTTACTCCTTATATTACAAAATCATAAAATTATTTAACACAAATTTAACTTAATATTCGTGTAATACACACCATTTAATATAATTTTGGTTTCCTTAAATGCGTTCTTTGTACTTTTGGTATCAAAAAACGTGGCAGTCATATACCTACGCAGTCATATAACTTATGCCTAACATACATTAGATAGTGTCATTAGTAGTTTGGTTGTGGTACTTACTCGTAGAACGTGACGTATGTACTCGGATATAATCGTTAGAGTTTAGGCATGTTAGTGGTTTGTATGCGGTCACTGTTTAACTGTGTAGCTAACTAGTGATTTCGAGGTAAGGTGTTATTTTACATTCATAGATAGCGTAACGCCTGTGATTCCCGAGAGCGCAGGCAGAATCCAAAGTGGTAGTAAGCTATTCGGACTCTATTTGGCTAAAATTATTGATACAGATGGAACATTTTTATATATAGATATCTTTTTAAATAAAAATCATTTGCTGCCCGTTAGTCTCGCAAAACTCGAAAATGGTTGGACCGATTTTAATGATTTCTTTTGTGTGTATTTGAGTGAGTCGCTTGATGATTTACACGATTCAGAATTAGACCCACTAGATGGCGCTGTTCTCGAGATCCCGAAATCGGCGCGGATCGCTAGTAATTAATATATATTATATAACATATACGTGGTAGAGCCATGCTGCAGCTATATTAGTAGTATAGCTGTAGCACGAATGGGTCGGCTCGACCGAGGAAGGACCACGCTGTCACAGAATACCTGCGTAAAATAGCAGCATAACGCTGCTGTGTTTCGTATGATAAGTGTAGAGAACCAACGCAACTGCATTTTGATTCCTAATGGAAGATAGATGTAGATGTATATGGGTCATAGCAACCACTTACCATCAGGTGGACTGTGTGCTCGTTAGTCATCTTTATCCTATAAAAAAAAACAGAAGAAAGAAACAGAAAATATACAATATTAAACAACTATAATGAGAAATTGTGTAAGAACTAATAATTGGCTAGCCCATTACAATTTTTCCTATCACACCGCATTATCATCATCATCATCATTACAACCTATCGTAGGGCCACTGCTGAATGTAGGCCTCCCCAAGGAATGTTTGAATGTTATTTTTGATTACAATACAATAGCACTTTTATTCTGAAACTCCTCTCTTGTGCTATTTTTTATGACTGTTTTTTCCTTTCTCTGAGTTGTAGTATATCGCGGAGCTTAGTGTGACTCTTGGTGAAGGCATTCTCTAACGACTTTCATTGCTTTCTGTCATTTGCAACTCTTCTTCAGTTCGACCTGCTGTGATTTTAAGTTCATCCTCCCATCTTATATTTTTAACTTCAAAATTTTGACTGTATTTTCTTTAGTGTGTTACCTCAGAACTTTTCTAGGTAAATCGAATTTGATGACGATTGTTTATTATTTGAAATCTGGTGTTTCTCTGTGGTCCCATATAAATTTGATCAAGATCTGACCAGTAATTTTTGAGTTATCGTTAATAGTTCGTATTTAATTGACTTCGACTACATTGATGATGTTCTAATTTTATTTATATTGAAGTCGGTTGTATAAAATGTCTAATTTTACCAGTTGCGTTATTAAGTAAATAAATACGTTAATAGGAGATAATAAAATTTTTTGTAGTTTATGGCATTTTGTAATCCTTGATACATATGACAAGTAAAAGAGGGACGCTAGTTGATGAAGAAACATTTAATAAACCATAATGAAATTTAGAGAAAGGGTAATCAGGAATGTAAAGTATACAAGAGATGTGAGGTGAATATTTGTATTAATTATGCACACAATATGGTTTATATACATATACAAAATACACATTGACGTGTTCAATATTAATATAGACGATACCCAAGCAAACAATGTAGGTACTCTATTAAAACTATTATAATGGCAAAGGCATCACAAGCATTCATCCATGATGAATCTTCTATCGAAAACAATTTCAAATCTAAAGACATTTTGAACAACCAGCCACAATACGTACGAAACAACGTTGCAACATTAGGATTTGTTCCGCTACAGTAATGCGGGGCAGATGGAGCCTCGCTAGGGTTTCGGTATCGGCTTACACGAGGCCGCACAAGTTCCGACGCGTCTGGTACACGCATAACTTTAATAATTTTCTAGCTGATGTTCTAACGGCTGATATTGTATCCAAAACTATTCTAATTTGAAAGTTCTCTTAGGTTTATATAATTATTAGTTCCAAAATGTAGGATTGCTTTTATATCGCTAAGGTCGATTTTGATCATCAGATGAAAGTTATTTATAGGATATAAAATGCAACATAAACAAATTGAAAATTACAGTTGTATGAATAAAATAGTGCAATAGTTTTACTTTTATATTCAGTCAGGTTATAATTTATTTGATGGATGGCTTTCCTCCGACGACTGCAAAATCAGTCCTTAACTATAGCAAATATCTTTTAATCTTACCTTATTTATAGTCGTGTTGTTCTTCTCGTAACATTTTCCTTACACCTAAGTAACTGTGTCAGTGTTTTTTTTTTTTAAATCAATATTGATTATTACATAATACTTATTGAAACTATTTTTTTTATTTATCACTGGTTTGGAAAATACCACTGTCCTGGGAAAAACCAGCAAGAAACCCATCGGGATTTTTTTATACATATTTCACTTTACAATAATTTTGTTTGTACAATTTTTAAATGAATTCTCATAGAACTAGCATGGTGACGATCACCTTATTTCTAGGGGTTATTTTCATTCATGTATTCCTTGATGTTATAATAACCTTTTTTGTACAGTTTTTCTTTAATAAAACTTTAAATCTTGTTTATTGACAAACTTTGGACATGTTATGGGATTTTGTTGTAAAAGCGTAGTTCTACGAGTACGTTGCAATCCTTCTTTCTCGTTACTTTACTAAGCGATAGGATCCCTTTTTAACCCCCGATGAAATCAGAGGGATGTTATAAGGTAGTGTGTATGTGTGTATCTATCTGCGTTTCTGTCTGTGGTATCATAACTCCTGAACGGATGAACCGGTTTTGAGTTTGTTTTAATTCAAAGGTGTCTTAATCAAGAATGTTTTAACTATATTTCAAGAAAATCTGTTTAGCTGTTTGAAAATCATCAGCTCTTTTTATTTCGGGGGATTTTAAAATGTTTAATTTAAGTTATACGTGGTAGAGCCATGTTGCAGCCATATTAGTAGTATAGTTGTAGCACGAATGGGACGGCTCGACCGGGGAAAGACCACGCTCTCACAGAATACCAGCGTAAAATAGCAGCTAAACACTGCTATGTTTCGTATGGTGAGTGTATAGAACCGGAGACACTTTTTACTGGAAACGAGGTATTCCATCTTAGTCCTCACGGGTGACAACGCATCTGCATTTTGATTCGTAATCGAAGATAGATGTAGTTGTCTATGGGCCAGAGTAACCACTTACCATCAGGTGGACTGTGTGGTCGTTTGTCTCCCTTATCCAATAAAAAAGTTATCTATCTAGTTTTCTGTCTGTGTAGATATCACGCTCTAACATAGTATTTATATTACGAGTACCAAACCGCTTTGTAGATCCGTATGATTAGAGACTGAAAGGCATTCGATCTTAGCGCTCAGAGGTAATGTAGAGTAGTATAGCCCCCACGACTATATATATATATATATATATATATATATATATTTAAGACGTTTACAATATTACATGGCGACCCTGCCAGGATTAAATTTGTTGGTCTTATAAAAAAAGAAAACTATACAAGCAACAGGCATGCGCACTACAGCTCACCGAAATTTCATCGAAATCGAATGAATACTATAGAAACAAATGCATACGATACAAAGGAAACATTACATACATAAACACTTACGCCTGTCCTGCCCTAGGGGGGTAGGCTGACACTACGGACTTCAATTTGATAAGTTCCTGACACACCTCTCGCTTCCTTTACATCAATATATCTACACATACAAGCTCGTCGGTTAAGGGTACTCCTAAACTCTTTAATCTGGCCCATTTTAAATTTATCGTCAATTTCGTCGTTAAACCTTCGTCTAGGGCGTCCCTCCCCGACTCTGTCGTTTACTTCTGCAACATAAATTTGCTTTGTCACTCTTTCCTCGTTCATTCTTTCTACATGACCAAACCACCGAAGCATTCCTTTCTTAATCCTGGTCACAGCGTCATCTTGAAAATTACACTCTTCTCTTATCATACAATTTCTCACCCTGTCATTCAGATTCAGTATTTGATATACTTTCGTGCTTCTTCTGCCACACCGAACTTTCTATATCATACATTAAAGTAGGGACTAATACAGCGTTATGAATTTCCATACGTGCCTATTTTTAATTTAAGTTAATATATAGAAAACAATATAAAATTACGCGTTTAAATAGATTCTCCTTGTTACAGAGAATGGTCTTCTCTCCTACGAGAATCCCAACTATCACATGGACCCATCGCGCCTCGAGTCCGCCATTTATAGTGACCTTTACGATATGCGTGACGACAAAAGCATGTCGGACGTATATGACAACTACCTCGACAATAGAAGGTAAGTTTAAAAAGAAGTCTTAGTTTTTACTATGCGATTCTGTCGTATAAATAACATTTTATATGGATTTTATGAATATAAAATGTTATTTAATATAATAATCGAGAGTGATAATTTTTTTTATATTGATTTCTTATATTTAAGCGAACGCTACACATTTAAATAAAACTAGTTTTACGGATTTTATCGCGTATATTAATTTATTTTATATCGTTTCGAGATATATCTGATATCTCTATATCTTTCGAGATAGAATCTGGAGATAGTCGTGGTTAACTATGACATTGGGACTTCAATCACCTCAGTCCCCCCCCCCCCCCCTCCGTGACCATGGGTGCTGTAAAGTGCTCCAAACGTAGGGAGTATAAAATAAGTTAATATTTTTTTATTTATTAAAAAAACGTTACCCCCACACTAGGATTTTCTCCTGTATCGTGGAGGCAGTTTACAAACAAATTGCACGAGGACAAATATCCAGACCCGGAACAATTATCTGTAGGCCATACAAATTCTTATTCCGTGCGGGATTCGAAACCGTGGCCCCCAGCGCAACAACTCATTGTTAAGCCACTGCACCACGGAGCCGTCATAAAATATATGCGATATACGCGATAAAATCCGTAAAACTAGTTTTATTTAAATGTTTTTTTTTAATTGATCTTATAATTTAGGTGAACTACCCTCTTACTTACTTCTACTGCCAAATAGCAGAGCTTGCATGGTTGAGTTTCTGTCTGAAGGGTAAAGAGAGACAGTATGTGAGGCATTCCATCTTATTAATCAGAGGTGACCACGCATCTTGAGTCTTATTTGTATGAAGTTGGCTGCAGGTGTCAAATGCACAGCAGTAGCCACTTACCATCAGGTAAACTAAACTATAAGTTCGTTTATCAGTTTTATTTTATAGAATGAGGGTGACAAACCAGCACACAGTCCATCTGATAGTAAGCGGACGCTGTGGCCCATAGACATCTAAATCTATCCTCGATCAAGAATCAAAATGCAGATGCGTTGTCACCTCTGAGGACTAAGATGGAGTGCCTCGTTTCCAGTAAAAAGGGTCTCCGGTTATCTACACTCACCATACGAAACACAGCAGCGTTAAGCTGCTATTTTACGCTGGTATTCTGTGAGAGCGTGGTCCGAACCCGGTTGAGCCGAGCCACTCGTGCTGCAACCACAACATATCTACAGCATGGCTCTACCACGTGTAATCAGTGCATGTTATTAAATAAACTAGCGATCCGTCTCGGCTTCGCACGGTTGATTTCTGTATCTCGACACAACGCCACCTACTGGCTCCAGTTGTGGATCTAAACCATTCTCTAATCAACTTAATCACACAGTTTAGGAGGAGTTCAGTCACATACACACGGACAGAAGAATTATATAATATATAATATACATGTATTATCTTTATATATAAAAATTACTTGTCACATTGTTTGTCCGCGATGAACTCCTAAACTACTGAACTGATTTCAATGCAAAACAAAATCTGCCTGGTCAGCTAGTATATATATATATATATATATATATATATATATATAATAATAAAATAATAAACCTTCCTCTTAAATCATTCTGTCTATTGATGAAAACCGCATCAAAATCCGCCGCGTAGTTTAAAAGATAGAGACAAAAAAGTCGGTCAGCAAAACGGCATTAATTAATCTGAAATTGCTAACCGAACTTATTTTATTGTAAAAACAGTTAAAACAGATAATATCCTCGTGCAACTAGAAAACCATTTTCGTAGCGTACGTAATTTGCCGACATGCCGGCTTATATTACAAATCCTTCCATTATGAGAAAATCTGTGTAGCGAGGCATTGGATGCGAAGTTATTAAATTTTATTGCCTGCAGGAAGTGCTTAGTTTAGTTTTCGACAAATTAAAAAATAAACTGAATTTGCCTTTGTTTTCAAAACTGGTATTATATTACGTTGTTAACCCCTATACGTATAAAAATACGTTGTTCGCAAGCTGTTTTCAACCGGCTTCAAAAAAGGAGGAGGTTCTCAATTCGACTGTATTTTTTTATGTTCGAGTTTTTATGTGTGTTACAGAACATTTTTCTTGGTGAACCAGCCATTTTCTTTTTTGATTTAAAGGCTGGTGCTTCTCATGCAATATAAATTTGATCAAGATCTGATCAGTAGTTTTTGGAGTTATTTTTAATAATGCGTATTTAATTGACTTCGGCTACATTGATGATGTTCTCATTTTATTTATATTGAAGTCGCATGTACAACGTTTTCTGCCGACTTCCAAAAAGGAGACGGTACTCAATTCGACGCGTATGTTTTTTTTTTATGTGTGTTACCTCATAACTTTTTATGTCTGCCATGCTGCAGCTATATTATGTCTGCAGCACGAATGGGTCTGTTCGGCTGGAGAAGGACCATGCCCTCACAGAATACCGGTGAGGATTAGCAGCATAATACCACTGTTTCGTGAGTGTAGAGAGTAGGAGATCCTTTTTACTGGTAAAGAGGCATTCCGTTTTAATATGTTAGTTAATTTAAAACTTCGTCTAATGTCTCGAAGACAAATAACGTTTTCGACGTGAACTGGTTTCATTCTGTGCATAAATAGGTAACTGTAAAAAAAACTAACCAGGTTCTGGTTAGTTTTTTTTTTAAATTAAAATCGGACCAACAGTTTTTCGTTATGAATAAATTTACTGAATAATAAATTTTAGTATTGATAACCAGTACAATTGCTGACTAATTATTAATGTTTTTTTCCTCAATTTTAATTCTTTAACTTTTTGCTACATTTGATACAAAGTTAAAGTAACAGCTGATTTGCATTACATTAAAATTCTACTTGTAATTAAAGAAAGAAAGGAAGTTAGAACATATTTATTCAATGCTGCGACTTACTTTTACAAAAAAAGAAAAAAACTTGACAATAAAATTTTAAAAAAGAATATGGATTGCAACAACAATAATTACAATTTAAAATTTTGTACAGCCGACATCAGTATAAGTTATTTAAGAATAACTCAGAAACTATAAGTCAGACCTTGATCATATGGGACCACAAGAGAAGTACCAGCTTTCAAATAAAAAAAGAATCATAGAAATCGGTTCACCCAGTTCAAAGTTATGAGGTAACACACATAAAAAACATACAGTCGAATTGAGTACCGGCTCCTTTTTGGAAGCCGGCAGAAAACAAAGAATAATAACTTAACAATTTAATGCTAATATCGTTCAGATTATTCAATTCTACGTACAGAATGTTGTTTTCATTAGAACACGCCTGCAACGCCCGGCTGTAGCAGCTCGATCACGTTCCGGATATAGTTCAATTGGAAATAGATTTTCCTTTCGATTACCATTTGGATTTCGTATTGCGTGCATATATCGACTTTTCAAAAATACTAATAATAGAGACGTATTAATATTACTAGTTTTCTTATTAACCATTCCTACTAGATCACTACAGTAGTATACGGATAGATTTGAACCTTCGAATTTTTAGTGTATTTTTATATAGAATATAGGTGACATCTACACACACATATACGACAATCTACAATTGTTAAATTATTTGAGTGATAAACAAGCTTGCAGATTTTATATTGCTTGCCCTTAGTCCTCAGGGGTGACAGCCTGTGATAGGTGTATATATCAGGCCTATTGGCCACAGCATGCGATTTATATCCATAACTCACAAGTCACAAACTCGCATATCTTGAAAAGGTACACCTGATAGTGTGTGCTATGTGATGTAGGCTATTGCAGATAGACTTATTATCTGGGATACTGTGTTTTCTGATAGAATAAAGGTACCAAACGAGGACACAGTCCACGTGATGGTAAGTGGATGTTGTGGCCCATAGACATCCACATTTATCCTCAATTAAGAATCAAAATGCAAATGCGCTGTCACCCCTGAGAACTGAGGTGGAATGCCTCGTTTCTAGTAAAAAGGGTCTCCGGTTCTCTACACTAACCATACGACACACAGAAGCATTATGCTGCTATTTTACGCTGGTATTCTATAAGAGCGTGGTCCTTCCCCGGTCTAGCCGACCCATTCGTGCTAGAACCGTAATAGCTGTAGCGTGACTCTATCAAGTACAAACATAACGTAGCCCCGTAGCCATTTGGCTACTACGACTCATTCAGTTATTATTATATAATAACTCATTCAGTTATTATTATATAATAACTGAATGAGTTGTAGTAATAATCACTTCTTGTAGTTCTACATTTGTTGGCTATAGTCTGCTACTCAATATAGGGTTATAGGACAATCCTGATTGGATTGGCTTAGATGTCGTATACACGACTGCTGTTCATGTATGGAATTCAATTCCTGGGGTTTCTCGGAACGATACAACTTCAGTCAGACATCGAGTGACCAAGCTTATACGCGGTATAGCCATGCTGCAGCTATATTAGTATCGCGACCGGGAAAGGACCACGCTCTCACAGAATACCAGCGTAATATGGTAGCTTGACACTGCTGCGTTTCGTATGGTGAGTGTAGAGAACCGAAAGCCCATTGTACTGGAAAAGAGGCATTCCATCTTAGTCCTCACGGGTGACGACGTATCTGCATTTTGAATCTTTATTGAGGATAAATGTAGAATGTCTATGGGTCACAGCAACCACTTACCATCAGGTGGACTGTGTGCTCGTTTGTCACCCTATACTATAAAAAAAGCTTGCGAGTAAAATATTTCGCGGACGCTGTACGCTTTAAAACTCGAGTCGTGTATTAGTGCTGACTACGGAATAAGTATTTACGCGTCCAACCAAACACCTATTCCAAAAACCTGTTCCAGTATATGTGTCTCACCCTAGTTGAAAAAAAAAAAGATTTATTCTAAATTCAAATTTTGAGCCTTCGTGTCTAAACGCATGATTATTATACTTGTCTCGATGGTTCGAAGCCTATTTTCAACTACCTTCGTTAACCACTCCTAACGTCACCATTTTAAGTTTAACTGGAGTGTTTAATGGGAATGTTAGTGGTGTTAA